GATGTAAAGAGCTAATTAGCGTATATCGATGTAAAGAGCTAATTAGCGTATATGGATGTAAAGAGCTAATTAGCGTATATCGATGTAAAGAGCTAATTAGCGTATATCGATGTAGAGAGCTAATGAAACAATGTGTGTTGCAGGCAGACTTAGCTCGTCCCCCTGCTCCCACCTACAAGCAAGATCTGAGCGATCTCTTCGACTACAAGTATTGCACGGACGTCGACCTGGTGTTCCAAGGAGCTGTCTTCCCCGTGCATCGAGCCATTCTCTCGTCTCGCTGTCCTTACTTCCAGGTGAGAAATTCTCTTCTTTTCCTTGATGCCTTCATGCCAACCTCGTCATTTTGATGAAACCTTGATCTTGGATCATGACTTGTCCTGTTCGAACTTCTTCAACGAAATGTTGTGCCTAAGTGTTCTTTAATGTTGTCTGCTCTGGTACCTTAATGTCAAAATTTAACTGGAGAGAAATTATCAATCTTTTTATTTTGTTTTTGTCCTATCATTTGTTACTATATAGTGTTTTTTTTTTAATACCGCAATATTCTTTTATTGTTAAAATAATTAGATTGATTGAATTCATATTGCAGGATGTGCTGCGAAAGATTCCCGGCTATGGTGCCCAGATCGGCGTGGACATACGCACCCCTGGCATAGACATCCCCATGTTCAGCGCCCTGCTGCGGTACCTTTACACCGGCGAGTTTAACCCTTACGACGGCACAAGCAAGCCTCATCAGATGCGTCTCAGTAACATGGACCTGCTGCTGCAGCTCTGTGAAGAGTTCGGCACTCCTAACCCTCTCGAGTGTGATCTTAGGTACCTGCTAGACTCTGGGGATTATTCCGACTGTGTCCTGGTGTTCTCTTCTTCTGCAGACAATTCTGGTACCGCGGGAACAAACGCTGGTGAGAGCACTAATGTTGGTGTAGGTGGTGGCAGTGTGAGTGGTGGCAGCGTAGGGGGAGACTCAGGAAGTTTGAGTGGCGGCCACTCATCAGATTACGGTTTCCACAATCGTCTAGAAGTGTATTGTCACAAATCTATCCTAAGCGCGCGGTCTCCTTTCTTCAGAAGTTTAATACAGCGACGACAACGCTACAGCGAGGAAGCTGGACTTTGTAATGTGAACGCCGTGACTCCTCCGACCAGAATAGTTTTGGATGAAGGAGTCATTCCTAAACGTTATGCTCGCGTGCTGTTACAAGCTGTGTATTTGGATACATTAGACCTGAACTGCATAATACGCGACAGCGGCAGCAGCAACAGCCTGAGTGAAGCGCAGAGTATGACGGTAACGGGCCGCGCTCATCTCACGATCGTGGAGGAAGCCATGGAAGTCTACCAGATCGGCCGTTTCCTGGAACTCGATATTCTGACCCAGAGCTGTGAAGATCTTATTGTTGAGAGCTTGAGTTTGGAGAACCTGGTGTCTGTTCTGCAGTGGAGCAGACAGAGTCACGGCTCTGCCTGGGTGCAGCGGCAGGCTCTGCATTATCTGAGGGAGGAATTTTCTCAGGTGGTACAGTCGCCCGTGCTGCTCGAGCTTGACAAGATGACTCTCATCCATGCCCTCATGTCGGACTTCCTGCAGGCAGCAGAGCTCGAGGTGCTGCAGAGCGTGCTCAGGTGGGGTGAACATCAGCTCGTCAAAAGGATGGAGGAGCGAGAGCCAAATCTCGTGTCACAAACGGCGCACTCCGTTACCAGGAAAGGATTACGCAAACGAGATTTGAACGATGTCGAGCTGAGAGAAATTTTGAGCGAGTTGCTGCCACACGTGAGAATGGATCACGTGTTGCCGCCTACACACGAGGTTTTCATTCAGGCCATCAAACGTGGTCTTGTCTCGACGCCACCGAGCCACATGATCGGGGCGGACACCACCAACTACCGCATCAACGCCTGGATACGAGGCAAGAACAACGGTCTCTTCGTCAAGCCGAGACTCTTCACTCCATACGCTGAGGAGGTCAAAACAATACTGGACGAGCAGGCAGGTGCTGGCGTGTCCGTGCGGTTGCCGTGCTACGTGTCTCACATTCCTGACACGCTGTACATGGTTGACCAACACCGCCCTGCGTCGACCAATGTAACCAGCACCGTCGACTTGGTCCCGTCAACGGTCCCCATCCCTGAGCCTGAGGTAGTGGCTGGGATGGTGCGCCGTGAGCGGGAACTCACTGCCAGTCCCGGGTACCAGCGGGCCGCGGGACTTCTTTTTGCAGACCGGCGCATGATGCGTCGACGCGTGCGCCTGCGCGTGGTGCGTGAATTTAACTTGCCTGACACCGTGGCTGAGGTGCTGGAGAACGCCACCTACACGGACGAGGCGCAGCAGACGCCGCACTGCCACGTCAGGGACGAGGGGCGCTCCAGGCTTCACCCTCCCGAATTCATCACGGAGGCCATGGCTGGTGACCCGCGCGCTGATAGTTTGGCCGTGTCCATGCCGGACTCCGAACCTCCCTTGAGTGACGTTGTTCCTGACGTGGCTTTAGCGTCCTCTTCTTTATCTGCCCTGCATTTGTCTTCGATGGGAGGAGGGGGCCACGGCATGCCTATGGAGGGCGGAGGGACTTGGCATCGGCGTGGATCGTCTCATCGGAGCAGTCGAAGCAATCGGCAGTCTTCTCCTGGCTCGAAGCAGAGGACTTCAGCCAGTTTAGAGGCCCTCGAACGCACGTCTCTGGGCAGCTGCAAAAATCTAGAGAGGCTGGCGGACCATTCGACCATGGCTCTAGATCTGGTGGATGGGTCAGCTCAGTACGGCTACGTCAGAGGTTCCTGCAAGTCTGGCAAACTGAACAGGTCATCTCGCCCACAGTTGAGCGTGCCTGTCTCTGTGCAGTCACTGAATCCCTCTTTGACTTCCGTATCCATCCTGCCGCCGCCTCCTTCATCATTACAATATTCTTGTTCATTGACTCCTCCTGCCACTCAACTTCACTTGCCGCACTCCTACACTCTCAAGCATCCTCCTCGCGCCTCGTCCTTACATCATTACTCGACTCTCAACCCCCGGCTGCACACGGTGGGCACCGGGCACCACGCACTCCAACATTCCAATAGATTAGCCTACACGCCGCCTCCGGTGCTGCATCCCACCACGCAGGTACCAATTGGCATCGACAATGTACCAGCCGGAACCCCTCCTATGTTCCTCTGACAGTACCTTTACAATACATTTCATCCTTCACCACAACACAAGAACACGCTTAGCAAATCCAATCAAAGGCTCTCGCAGTCTTCCGTGTGCACTGGCTTGAGTTCAGTCTCTCCGTACCAACGCCAGTCTCATGAATCCCTTTTCTCTACAACCTCTTCCCCACCTTGCTCTTCTGCAGCCGCCTTATCTTTTGCTTCCATCTTTTCGTCTCCCGCCGCCTCTTGTACGCCTCAGAGTCAATATTCCAGCACTCTACTGCCTTCAACTGCTGCTTCAGCTCATAATAGTTACGATGCTCTGTACCAGAGTCGATATTCTCACTCAGAGCTGCAGAAGCCGACGTTGTCATCACGGCGCTCGTCTCCCCGTCACCATCGCTCGTCTCTCCAACTTCCCCCGCAATTTCATTCCGAGTTTTCATCGGAGTTTCCTGCTCATTTCAGCACCGAGTTTTTGGCCCCAACTCCAAAGTTGCAGTACTTGTCTCAATCAGCTACTCTCCGCCATTACCCTGGACACCACCACGTGCTGCCTGGGCATTCATCTGGACTCTATTCATCGAGTCCCACTCCAGCTATGGAACAAACACCCCCTGTGGGAGGTGTGGCAGCAACGTCTTATTCCAGCCACCACCGCAGACTGGACAACTTTCAAAGCATCGATGCCTATAACAGACATTGTAGTGAGTCGTTCAGTGGACAGCCTCTCGACCGCCGCATGCCGCCAAACTACGGAACAATTGGCCGCTCCTGGACCTCAGGACGTCCCTACACGCCCCTCTTCTGACCCTCTGAGGCGGCCCCGCCTCTGCCACCTCGGCGGTTCAGTCCACACGTTTGCCTCAACTACAAGACCTGTTGAGACTTGCTGCTGACTGCAAGACCTGTTGAGACTTGCTGCTGACTGCAAGACCTGTTGAGACTTGCTGCTGACTACAAGACCTGTTGAGACTTGCTGCTGACCACCTCAACAAACGCAACTAACTGCTAGGTTTATTGAAGGAAGTGGCTCAAGTAGCATGAATATATAGATGCTCAACTGCTTACATGCGTTTCAGGACGATAACTCACCTTTTGCTCATCTGTTGAAACCAGTGCCGTGTTCATCACACTGTTCTACATCTGTTTAACCCATATTGATGATATGAATTTCATCGTAGGTATTCTGAACAGTGTAAGTAAGTTCTATGTCATACTCAAAATTAACAAGTGTAACTAATTGTTTATATTAGAAGTTGGGATAGTTACGAGATAGTTTTTAAACTTACAAAGAAAAGTGACAACTTACGTAGGTATTTTATTCGAATGTAACCTATGCGTCTTTGGTGTGGTGAAGAGTGAATGGAGTGGCAATATCGTCATGAACAGAACTCGAGTGCTCCAAATAACTGTGAAGAGTTAACTCGAGTGCTCCAAATAACTGTGAAGAGTTAACTCGAGTGCTGCAAATAACTGTGAAGAGTTAGAACCTAAGGACCTCCGAACACTAGCTGCTACAGCTGGTAGTACAAGTCATCAGCTCCTTGATGTTGATCTGATTTTTGCAGTGCAATCTTTGAAAATATTCTCCTATTTAACTGCCCGCGCTCTATAATTTGTTGTTTTATTCGTGGCTTCTAAAGTTGTTTAATTTGAAACTGTTCCATGTACAGTGTTTTATTACGGCTTCATCCATCTGTCTATTTATTGTAGATTTTAATATTGGATTTAAGGTATGTGTTGTTCTCTTACAAGGAAACTACTGAACTGTTATTGTTAGTTATTCAGTATCGAGATTACCTAGAAGATGTGGCTGAGGGTTGCGTCGATTAACTTGAGTTGTTTTATGGTAGGTTTGCTTGTAATGCAATGGATTTAAGCAACATGGAGGACTCGTTCTCGGACCAGCGGTTAATACGATAGAATATCGCGCTAATAAATACCGTGGCCGAGTGTGCAGCGAACAGCTCGTTGGTCTTGCAGTATATTCAACACTGAGACGCGCTCACCAGGGTTTTAATTCATGCAGTGGCTTCCTTTTTTATTATTTGTCTGGCGAGTTTCTTTACTAATGTGGCGAGTCCCATGCCAGCGTTGAAACGTTGATAGTAACTTCTTCAATGCAATCTTAGTTTCATCGTTGTGAGTGAATTAAATTGAGATCACAGCTAAGCTATAAATTGACCATTCTTTATTACTTATTGGGTTTGAAAAACCATTTATTTATTTTCTAATGTTCTAAGTAGGTACACTTTTTAAATATATAAACGTTTTGGCACTGTTATCGTTGTCTCCATGTTTCTTCTTTAATCAAATCAATTTTTAATATCTTGCACATTATTGCCAGAGATGATACTTCTAGCTACGATCAGCCGTAGTTCGAGTACCTAGTTAAGTTTCTAGGTTCTCCTCCGTGAATACGCGCTGCATCTCTTGCTTAGCTATTTTCATTTGCTGTAGCGCTCTGTAACAGATTTATTTATATCTCTACACTCGTTCTACATGTTGTTGTATCTTTATTATAACTCTTCGTTACACTTTTCTTATCCTCATTTATTAACTCTTGCTTCTGGCGGGATGACCACATAGGAAGTGTGTCTCTTATGCTGTTTTTGTCGACCTGCATAATAGAACTCTAAGCTGTTCTCGGGCTCAGTTGGTAAATTAATTACATTCTATGAGATCATTTTAATGATATCCTTTAATCAATGCCACGACGTATGAATTATACGTTCTTTTCCTTTTTTTTCTAATGTAAAAATGTCTTTGCTGCGGGAATCATTGTCACTTGCCTTTTAAAATTCTGTACCAAAAAGTAATATTGTAGTAGGTACTACGGCATCGACGGTTAAATTCGAATTTTATTTAATAAATATATGTTTTTATCGAGAACAGCTGTTGAACTCTGGTCTGACGACAAGGCTTTTTGAAAGCAAGCGATTTCGGTTATCATAATATATTGTTTTGTGTTGCAAATTTTGCGTCGTGATAGCACTTCTTCCTTGTCTCATTTATGGACGTTCTCACTTGGCTGTCTGAAAAAATGGTTTATGAATTTTTTTATCGAGTTGCGTTCCAAATCGTTATTCATGCCTGTGAAAATGTGAAATTAGTTGAGAAGTATCTCATGAGTCAACTATTCCCAGGTATGTTATGCCGTCACATTGTTCACTACGTATGTGTGTTCTGTGACGTTCTCCCACGCAATCCATATTCTGTTCACGATGCTTTCATAGTACAGCTCCTGGTCAGACTGTTGGTGACGGTCGCTCGTTGTTAGTGATGGCACCAGAGTTTGCCTTGCAAGGCAAAGCATTCCCCACAATTAAGGCTTAAGGGAAGAAATGCATTAAGAAATTAGGGCCTTAATCAGATCAAGTGCATGCAGTCGCCCGGGCTGCTGCCGCTGTGTGCGAGACGGTCACCAAATTTTCCGTCGTGCTAAAGATGTAAATAAGGATTTATTCTTGGTGTTCATGATGTCGTTGGTGGTTGTTGTAACTTCTACGAGTATGGAGATTTTAATGAACTAATGCGGTGTGAGATTCGTATAATAATGCTGAGCATGATGTTTAATTCTGCACGTTAAGATGAACACCTTCAAGGGTCTTACAGGACTGCTGCCTTGGCAGTATCCCTTCAAGGGATATGCTTATTATTTCCCTCTTGGCTTCTCTTCCTTCTAGCCTTCAATAATGTATTTTTTTAGGTAATTATGATCCCTTGCTAAAGCTACTTTCTTATACTTCCAATCATCTTCTGTTCGTATTTCCCTTATCCTACTAATTATTTTTAGCAGCTTATCCCGTACTTTTCTCCTGTTTTGTGTCTCTCATATCGCGCTTCCTCGTCCAATTCTTTTCTTCACTGACAAAATTCTCTGCAATTCAACTCCGTCACAAACTAGTGTATTAATTCCTACTTTATGAGCTTTATTTTCTCTGTGATTATTTGTTCTGTTTATTTGGTCCGTAGGCCTTGTTAACATCTGCAATGTCGCTTCCGTTAGCTCAAGCCGCTATCTCCTATTCATTGCTCTATTCGATATTTATTTTAAATTATTTTTGTTTGTCAAAACATGAGATGAAAATGAAATTGGCGCAGAGTTGCTTGACGAGTTATAAATTTTTTTTACCAGGTAATTTTTGTCTCATCTACCATCTACATCGCAGTGAGAGAGTCATTTGCTTGCAGGATGTCAACCTGTGGTGGGAAGTTCTTGGGAACAACATTATATATTTGCAATGCCATGTACTCCTTTACTATTCTTATAAATCTTATTATGTATCAGGCCAATTGTTAGCATTTATAAAATATTATTTTTCACATTTGGCAGCTGTGCAATACTCGCCCTCATGTTTTGATACATCACGTGGGCATTTCTTGTGTATTGATATTATTTAGTGTAAATTGTGAAAGATTTTTATTTCTAGGATAATTATCTCCTACGCGCTGGCGTTCAGTTAAACACACGAACATTACTTCTATTTGCTCACTTAAATTGTGCTAAGCTTACATAAACGAATTAACTCGCGTTTACTTTGACCGGCTCGTGGGTTATTAGAGTTAGCTGTGTAAGCGGCATGCTGGAATCAAACCTACTTCATGTGTTGTAGCTATAATGACCACACCACACTCCAGGCCTTCCTGGCAGCTTTTTTGTTCGCCGATTGCCACGGATGTGTATTTTCGATGTTTCCACATCGTCCTCTGCTCTTGATGTTCGCCAAATCATTCCTGCGCGCCGATGAGGCGTTAGATTCTCGTATCCATCACCCTTCAGCATAACATTGCCACTCGAGTCGTGACTAAAAGAATGTTCAAGGCTGAGCATGCATGCAGCTGTCTTTAATTTAATGATTATCACAGATGATATGGTAGCAACTTTTTATTTAATGATGATCACATATTCCTGGTTACCTGATGACATGCACAGTTTTTGAACGCTGGCTCCAGCTTCACAGGCGTTTTTTTGCCGTTCGTCGTCTTGGATGTTTGATTTTCGTGACTTTTTTGTCTAGAGGATTTGTTTGTTTCTTGAAGCTATGCTTGTATTTTTGAAGACTTCGCTTGCATTCTTGACGTTATTTTGTGCACTTGTGACGGTCAGTTCAACGTTCACGGTCTTCTGCAGACGACCCGTGCCGAGCGGTCACATGTGTTTTCCATTTAGGGTTTTATTCTCGTGATTGTGCGTTCTCACGTCTGGTGTATAGTCTCTACTATACGCTATAGCACTGCGATATAAGTGGTGGCTGTAGTTGGGTTATAAATCATCAACCGTGTTATGTATTTTTTTTATTCTACTGCTACATATTATTCATTTTCATTGTTCCATATGGCTATATATCCCATAATTTTAATTCAGAAACGATTCTCAATTTTCTTTGTTGCCACAAAAAAAAAGATTAGGTAGTTGGAAGCAAAGCTGGCAACTAGGCTACTAGGGTCAAGATATGATAGTAAAGAACCCCTATCCGTCGAGCTCGTTTTATAAGTGTGGGAAGGTGTATTATCTCGAGGCCTGCATCATCTCATGGCGCGTCTTGTGTCTAAGTTCCAAAACTTTGGTCATGTAATTAACGATTATTATCTAGCCGCCGATAAAGCGACCATGATTTTCAAGACTGAGATGAGCCGAGTGTATTTATGAACCTCATTGAATCTCTGGAGTGTAATGCCGTGTAAATATGTATGTAGTTCTCACCCTCAACATAACACGTTTCTCACGTTCTCGTGTGTGCCCTGTAATGTTGCGCTGCGCTGTCTCCACAGACGATCGCGCGTGCCGCTGTCGTTCTTAGTCGTAACGCCTTCCCCTGTCTTTATTTGAGGTAAAAAGTCCCTATCACTTGACAAATTTGCTAACTACCATTAATTCATAAATGCATGTCAAGACATCATCTTCATGCGACTTGAAAATGTGATGATGTTAATTTCTGTAACGGTTTGTTAATGTAAAATGTATTCTCTTAACAGACCAGATTAATCAATTCTGGATCTCAAATACCGCATACTTTGAAAATCCAATAAATTGGCGCAAGACTTTCCTACCGTGAATTGTTACTTGTGAAATTTCCACATTTTGTAGTGATTTCTATGTATTCAGCACTTCATTAATTCCCTCTTAAATATCATGAAGATTATGACCACTTTATGACCATAGGTCTGTCATATATTCGCCTTCCGACGAGAGAGATATAGAGACATGAAGATGCATAGCTTGGCGATACGTCGTGTGCATGTTATTCCTGTTCTTTCCCATACGTTGATGATCACGTCAGCGGTGTTCATGTACTTAAATATATAAAGTTTTACCAATAAATTTTATGACATCACACCGCTCGTATATCTTCTGTGCAGTCCTCACGTCGTTTAAATCATCGTGGTTTGTTGGTGGAAGAGATAACGCGTTGGCTGCAAGTTACATGGGCAGATGTTGGCTGGAGTCTAGGAAGGCGTTTAACCTTCTACCGCCTGACATGAGTAACCGGGGCGATATTCTCACAAGCCTACTTCCCAAAAAAGATACGTTCTAGTAAGCGCAAAATGACATGCACTGATGGTTGCCGCCACGTACAACTTTTACATGTTCTGTTTTGCGTACAAACGTCCTCAGGTTGCTTCACTCAATAGTTTACGTATAATTTAAGTTGAAAGTTATGTTCCCCGAGAGTGACATACGGCGCTAGAGGGTTAAGGCGATGATATGCTTGAAAAATTGATGCAAACTTCAACATGGTGAGAAATCATGTCCAAAGTATGTCCTTGTAGAATCA